TACGAGATAAATGGGAGTTTCCCAGTCAGAACAAGGGGGAAGGTATTCCACCATGTGCAAGGCTTAGAGACGCCAACAAAAAACCATAAACAATTATAGCTGAGTGGAGAGTGCATCTAAGGGAGCATCAGGAAAACAGAATAATATCTTTCCCACTTATCTTGCAGGATTTCCCGAGGCGGAATGAGAACACGTATTAAAACACTAAAAAGGACAGTGCTGCAGAAACAACGTGTACGCCTATTATTAGTACTCTAGCAAGGCTTGTGATGGACTTAATTTTCACCCATTTCTTTCCAGTGTGAGAACTTCCAGCACTGTTTCTTTACCACCACTTTGCCTCTTTCCTTTCTCCCCTGAGAGAAAGCAAGGAGGATTTAGCTCTGACCTAAGTGGAGGGGCGGGAGGGAGAAATGACAAGAAAAACATCCAGCTCTTCGTTTTAGTTACCACAAACCTTTTCAAGGTCCCTTAACCATAATGCTTCTCGTAATTTAAAAGATTTCAGTCATTATTAGCCAGAAAAGAGACCTTGATCCTAAGACCATGGCTTTTCAAACATACTTGACCATAACCCGTGTTAAGAAATACATTTTATATTACAGTCCTGTGCACACACAGAAAATGTCAATTAGAATCTCCTAACTGATTTCATTACTTGCCACTGGGTCACAACCTGAGGTTTGAAAAACACCATACTGAGAGACAAGGTTTATGCAAGATTTTTTTATGGAAGATTTCAAGAGTATGGCTCACAACTCCCCTCAGGCTACTTTTCTTTTGCCTTTCAAGACTCTGCAAAAAAAGAAGGAAATCCAGCCCATTTCCCAGGAAACAGAACATCCCCGTGTGCACAGCTCATGGCGTGGGTTGTCTGACAATAAATGGGAAGTTTTTCCATGGGGGGCTTCTTGTTTGGTTGCTAAGGCCGATTAAGCTTGTTAACAAGTAGGATTTCAAAATACATGGCTCTCTCTTAGGCAGGGCCTTGGTGCCCTATAGAAAGCAGGATCATATGTCCCCAATGTCTTTTCCATGGGAATATTCAATAAGCAACTTCTCTCATGTAAAGGGCTCATCACACATCATGACTCAGAAATGAACAAGCTTTCTGCCTCAGGGCTGCTAAAATGGGAACACAACGCCTAAATGCCTTTCCACTCACATACAGATTCAAGATTCACACCACCATCGTCACTACTACCACCTCCCTCAACAAGGAAAAAAATCTGTCCCCTGTCCAGCTCTGTATGCTTTGTGTGCAACCAAAATACTAATGCTGGAAAGAAACACAAAGGTCATCTGGTCTCCCTCTCTCCTTCCAAAGAGGATGGCCAACTAAACTTTCCCGGCTCACACTGAGCTATTTCTTTTTTTTTTTTTTAAGTTAAATTAATTCACCCATAGTGTATTATTAGTTTCAGAGGTAGAGGTCAGTGATTCACCAGTCATATAATACCCAGCACTCATTACATCATGATCCTTCCCCAATGTCCATCCCCCAGTTACCCCATCCCCCTCCCTTTCAGCAACCCTCAGTTTGTTTCCTATGACTAAGAGTCTCTTATGGTTTGTCTCCCTCTTTGATGTTGTCTTGTTTTATTTTTCCCTCTCTTCCCCTATGATCCTGTTTTGTTTCTTAAACTCCACAAATGAGTGAGATCATATGATACATGTCTTTCTCTGATTGACTTATTTCACTGAGCATAATACTTTCTAGTTCCATCCATGTCGTTGCAAATGGCAAGATTTCTTTTTTTTTTTTTTTTGATGGCTGAAAAAATACGAAACACTTCATGAATTTTCGTGTCATCCTTGTGCAGGGGCCATGCTAATCTTCTCTGTATCATTCCAATTTTAGTCTTTGGGATGCACAATTCAGCTATTTTCTGTTGTACCGCAACATGCATCTGGCAAGGGCCTTCCTTGTGGTACTATGCAAGTTTAGATGTTTCTCCTGTCGCTTTTGATTTTGCCATTTCTCTGACTTAAAATATCTTTCCCTCCTGCCCATTCAAATCCCACCCATCCTTCCAGATCACATCCCAAGCCCTCCAAGAAGCCATCCCCAAACTCCACCTGTCCATCCCATCTTCCTTCTCGGAAATAAGATTCAGCTCCCTGAATTCATGCAACTCTGCCTTTTAGGTGCTGTTTAAGAGACAGTTAATATATATTTATGGATTGACTTTCTAATATTTAAAAGAAGGGATATTTATAAAAAGCTTCCATCTTAACCTTTCCTACAACATATATATCAATGTAAGCAGAAAGGTTTAAATGATTAAATCAGATAATCATTACAGAAATAAATATTAAGCTATTAATTTATACATACTTAGAACCAGTAACTACAGTGAGGTAAAGCCAGCATTGTTGATCTTTCAAAGATACTATCATTTGGGAGACACTTGTGTTAGGCAACGGAACTTTGACATGCATCACAGTGAGCAACTGAGGGACTTCCTCCCTAAGGAGATACTATGGTTGATGCTTTTATGGAAAAAGACTCTGTGCTTTGATACACAGTCAACACACTGAACTCTGTGTTGACTTTGGTTACTTATTGTTATAACAGGATCGTTGGATTTTACAACTTGGAAAGAATTTAAAGATTATTTATTCCACCTCAAGTGGTGAAATTTAACCAGGAAAAGGTGAGCTAATAATGTACTTCAGATCACACTTATAGGAAATGACAGATTTGAGGCTAAAACCATATCTTCTATTATCCAAAGAAATCAGGATCTAGAAACCTAAAAACCTCATACAACCCAGCTCTTCAGTTTCACTTCCTCTGTCCCCAGACTTATCTTCTACCAGATCCTTCTGTCTCACCACTAAGGAACTTCCCCAGGTCCTCGCCATCAAACTGTCTTCCCGCCATGAACCAATTCCTCCACATTGTTCCATGTCAGCACCACAACTTCTCTTATCTTACTTAGCAATTTCACTCTTTATTCCGTTTTTTTCCCCCCTTATCCAACCACACCTGCCAAAACCACACTGCTCCTGCATTTTACCCTTCTGTAACCAGTCCAGGCTGAAGCTAGTGACCAAGACTGTCCTATGGAGTCCTGTTCTCCCCACCTAAGATTACGCCTTTTCTATCTCACACTGTATATGATACATAATATGCTGAAAAAAAAAGAGAGTTTTCTCTTTGATCAAGAAGGTCATCACCTTCTTGACACATGGCCTTCAAGACACATTGCCAAACAATGATGCTTACAATTCAAGAAGGGAAAATAGCAAATTCATGGACAATACCAATAAATACTGAATGTTAGTTACTCTTTGCCAAAAACATCAAAATCCTGTCTAGTTCAAGGGTGGAAAAACTGATTAATGCGACCCCCCCTTTCCCTTTCTTACTCTTAACCTACAGTCTTGTCAAGGGGCTAAATGAAGAATGATGTGGTCAAAACAGAAGAGGAAACAAAGGGGAAACCAGGGAAACCAGTAAAAGTCCAAATAAATCAAAACTGGCTGCAGAGTATAGTGTTAAACGTGGGGGCTCTGAAGGCCAACGGCACAGTGTGTGTTGGGGGCCCTATGCATCCATCACTGAGTGGCCCTGGGCAGGCTGCTCTGCTCAGTTTCTTCATCCGGGCAATGAGGGTAACAATAGCACCTACATCACAAGATTGGCGTGAGGTTGGAATAGATTACTATCTATAAAACAGTGAGGACAATGCCTGACACATAGTAAGGACTATATAAATACTTGTTAGCTAACATAAATCCTCGTTTGAAATCATTCTAACAATCACGCTGTGTGTCTGCTGACTTCCATATCTTACTGGCAATTTCAGGACCTAGACACATCCTGATGGCTGCCGTCCCACACCACATATTCCCTGCGTCCTCTACTATGAATTGCTGCCCAAGAATCCCTTCACATCAGGATTTGACAGGCACATGCTCTGGGACCTCTCTCAGAAACAGTCCCCACTGCTGCGGCCACCACACATGGCAAGAAATGGACTCTCTAACATAGAAGACAAGTCCTGTGAACCCACATAGCACCAATTCCACCTGTGACCCAGACTGGAATTGGGGGGCAGCCTACCAGAGAGAAAACAAAACAAAGGGAAAATTTTTTGCACCAAATACATCTTCTAGGGACAGGGCTGGCAGGGCAAAGCAAAAAGTCCTCAGAGCTGTTCACACGTGCTTTCCTAAGGCCTCTCCTCTCTTTCTTCATTTTGTTCTGAACAGACTCTTGGCTATACCAAATGTGATCTCAAAGTCACCTAAAAACTATTTGTTTGTTAAACTAAGCCAACCACACAGCACTACCTCCCAACTGCCCTCTGGTCCCAGTCCCTACCACCACTCTGAGTACTGAAATACCCTCTTCAGCAATTTTCTTGCCTTTGCCCTTGCTCCTCACAAAATGGCAGCCAAAGAGATACCATTAAAATGCAGGTCCAATCATGTTACTCCCTTGTTCAAAACCTTCCCATGGCTTCTCTTCTCACTCGGAAAATCCAAAGTCCTTATGATAACTACACCGTCCTACATGATCTGAGTGGCCCCAACACCTCCCATTAATCCTCTGACCTCATATGTTCCCACTCTCCCAGCTCGCTCTACTCCAGCCACAATGGCCTCCTTGCTGTTCTGGGCTCCTGTGCTTACTGCATCTCCTGCCTGGTGCCCTTCCCAGACACACGCGGTTCACTTCCTCACCACCTTCACATCTGCTCAAAAGTCATCTTCTAGCTGAAGCTAGAATTGCAAACTAGACCTGCTTAGCCTCTTTACCTTATAAGTGTTATATTAAAATGTATTATAAAATTATTTTGTTTACCTCTATTAAAATACTTATGTTGTCTTCCCCTACTAGAGTATAAGCTCCAAGCAGGTTGGGGATTTATGACTTTTCTTGTTCACTACTGCATTTCTACTACCTAGTAAGCACCTTGCATACTCTAGATGCTCAATAAACATTTGCTGAATGAATGGGGAAAATGGCTCACTTGGTTCCTCCTTACCTAAGACAGTCATCACCGTCTTCATCAGCTTCATGGGTGTCCTCCGGCGGCTGATGGACCCACTTGTATGTGGAGACAAAACGTTGGTTTTCCTCTTGACATACACGTAGATCCGCAGGTACACCACAACCATGATGAAGAAGGCCACAAGGTTGGACACAGTCCAGAAAATGAGGTAACTCCTGCTGTAAATGGGGGCCAGGGAAGAGCAGGCAGAGATGTCACACAGGCAATTCCAGCCCAGTGTGGGGACCGCCCCCATAAAGATAGCGATGGCCCAGATAAACAAAATGAGCAGCGTCACCCTCTTTTTCGTCAGGTTGCTATGGATCCGCATCCTCATGATTGACATGTGCCTCTCCACAGCAATAACCAACAAATTGGTTAGAGAGGCGGTCAAGCTAGTGTCCAGGAGCCCCTGGCGGAGAAACCAGCGGTTGACCGTCAAAGTTTTTGAAACGGGGCCAGTGTTAAACATCAGGAATACATAGGCAATTCCAGCAAAGAAATCTGCAGCAGCTAGGTTAGCCAACAGGTAGTAGAAGGGGAAATGAAACTTTCTATTTTTGATCACTGCTGCGATGACTAGAGAATTCGAAAAAAAAATAAACAGGCAGAAAAATGTTCCAACACACAAAACAATTACAAGCTTCGTTCCTGTCCACTCATCGGCAGTGTCTGTGTTGCTCCTATTGTAAAAAAAGTCCATCCGCTTATCATAGTAACACTCATTCATTGTGGAGAAGGACTGAACATCCTAGAAAGAAATTTAAAGAAGAAACAAACATCACTCTTTGCATATTCAGTCACTGAACCACCAATTGCCACTGCAAAGGTGGCAGAACAAAGCCCCTGTTCTGGCCAACTTCTGTTAATCCTTCAGATCCCGATGTAAATGTCCCTTGTTCCAGGACTCTAGCCCCTGACCTCTTATTATAGTATTTATCTTGCATCAATAATTGTTGTCTGTTTCCCAGGCTAGGTGCAAGTGTGAGGGAGGGTCTCTGTCTCTTTTGATCACCAGTATACTCCCAAGACCCATCTGCCCGGGCTGCCTCTTGACAGATATTTGCTGAATGGCTGGCTGGCTGGCTGGCTGACTGCCTGATCAGGGATCGGCAATAGATCAAATACTCTGAGTCCTGCAATATCCACTCTGCATCAGTAATAATTACAGCACAGTACATTAATGCTTTCTCCTGGTGGTTTCCAGCTCATTCATTATTTATGGGTTCTGTTCATTAGGCAAGGGCAAGTTGGTAATGCCGAGCACACTGTCACCAAGATAACTGAGTGCTGAGTTACTCTTCACATGACCAAACTGATTCCCCAAGAGATAATTTTCTACCACTTCTGACTCCATTCCTGATCCTCCTTCCACCATCTTTTGGTGTCAAGCTATGACAATGCACACTTTTTAAGCATGTGATATAGGGCTGAAGACTGTGTTCTCAGTATCCCTCCTTCCTTTTTTGTTCACTTTTTCTTTATTGTCCTAATCCAAATTGTACCAGTGGTGAATGTGCTTACTGCATTTTCCAACTCAATCACTTTAAGTCAGGTTCCTTCCCTGGGCTTTCACCACAGCAGGTGGTGGAAGAGCAGGATTCCATGGACAAGACGGAGCTCTGGAGTTTGAGCAGATGTCCAAGGATGTGACTACATACCTGCCAAGTGAGGGCAAGTCCTTGGGACACATGTCTGAAAGTAGACCCCAAACTGGTGTATCAGGCAGACAGAAGATGCTCATCTCATGACAAGATCTCTTGGACACCAAAACTAAGGGATTCTGGCCAAGGAGGGGTTGGGAGGAGCTCTAAGGATGCCTCTCCATCTACGCTTGGTGGAAAGACTAGGAGTTCTGCCTCACAGTGGTCTGAACAGCTATGAAAGATTCCAATCAAAGGAGACCAGAGTTGAAGCCAGAAATTTAGAGAGAGAATGTCTGTGGGCTCCCTGTCAAGGAACGAGGCAGCAACTTATTCACTGGAGAACCAGAGATCCAGTAGGTCCAGAAACTAAGCAGTCCACTGATGGGAATGAAGTGGCTCTACAAGCAAAAGCTTAATAGAAATCCCCAGCTTTTAAGGTTCTCATAAATTCTGCACTCCAATACCATATCCAGAATCAGGGTAAGCAGATCAGATACCAATTTGAAGTAGCACAAAATACAAATATATCTTAGTGTTCTTTTTAATTTATATTTTAATGGTGTAATGATACTTTTAAATGAATTAGATACATACTTCTCTGCCACAGCAAATGGAAGGTAAAATACCATTTTATAAGCTTACAACAAAAAACTGGCTGTGGTTTCAAGAGACAAATGACTCTAGAGCCTTTCAATTACAAGGAAGGGGACTTGATTTTAATGACAAAACAAAATTTACTCTCTTTGGCAGACATTGACCAATGTTTAACTGCCAACAGAAGATAGCTCCATATAACAGGCCAATAGACCTATGCTGTATCATGGTAATTTTCTCAAATATAGATATATAATTTTAATAGCTTCATAATGTTCCAGCATATGGTCATAACACGCTTTACTTAACTAATCCCTAAATGTTGGATATTTCAGTTGCCCCCAATATTTAGCCTCCATAAGCAAGGCTGTGTTCTTGTGCATTAATCTTTACATACTCAGCCAATTATTTGCTTAGGCTTAATCCATACATTTCAAGTTGCTAAAGTAAAGAATATAAATTTATTTAAAGATTTCTGATACAGATTGTCGAACTGCCCTTAAAACAGATGATATTTCTAATCCCACCAGCAGCATATGAGAATTGAACAGAAGACACCAATCTAGTAAAATTCAATTTAAATATTCAAGGAGAAAATTCAGGCTTTCAATAGTGTTGGAAGTATACAGAAATTCAAGACAAATAATCCAAAAGAAATTTTCATGGTGCAATTATTATGTGTCCTTTCACTAATAAAAAATATTTCATGTATTTTATTTTGCTATATGCTCTGGATAGCTAAGAGAAACACATTTCTAATTTAAAAGTTATGTTATCCTTGACTAATTCATCAGCAGTATCAATTAATATGTCAGAAAGATGTTGGTATGAAGATACTACCAATAAAACTTTAAATTTTCCTAATTTCCTTTTGAAGGGGTCTTAACATTTTAGTTTTGGGTTACAAATTTGGTGGAATTTGTAATTATATGATATTCTAAATCCTCAATGATTTTTACTTGAAAAATCTTCCAATTTAACTTTCTCCCCATCAAAACCCAAATGGCACATTCTTAGACATATTTTAACAAAAAATCATCCTGAGACTGAGAAGCAGTTTTATCTTCCAAAGTTGAGAAGTCACAGAAAAAAAAACACACAATTAACCAGAATTCCTACCAAGCAGCTCCCTACCTCACAGCCTCAAATCCTACTTTTGGGTGAAACAATGAGAGCAAATAAAGTTCAAGTGGGGAACCTGTGGAAAAGATTCCATTCCACATGGAATACTGTACAGCTACTGAAAATCGTATTTACCATGAAGTTGTGGTAATAGGAGAAAAAGCACATGCTATTATTTTAATTACAAATAATTATATATGTACACATGCATATACATACATATTTTATATACACAAAGACATATACACACACATATTTCTTGTCTATCTTTTAAAAATATAAAAAAATAAGGAAAAAATCTTAAAAGTGTAAATACTTCATTAAGGATGGTGGAATTAGGGATCATTTAAAACAATTCTTTCCAGTTTTTTCTCTGTTCCACATTTTCTGTAATAAATAGACTTTTAAATGCTAATTTAAAATTCTATCTTCAGAGCACACATTCTACTTAATGTATTCTACCTTTCTTTGACAAATACAGCTCCGAAAAATCAGAATTAATGTTCAAAGGAAAAGCCTCAAGGATTCACTATGTTCATTATTACTAGCACAGCACAGCACACTTTAGAGTTTTTCAGTGATAATGAAAACAAAGTGGTTTTCTACTTAAAACTTCATGTAGCTGTAAAACCTTACACATTGACAACTATAATCAAATCAGGACGTCACTTTCGCCAACTCTCCTGTAAAACATTTCCTAATGCAATCACCCCAGAGCTCCAAAAATGAGTAACTGGCAGTTCTGTGAATTAGTGCTTTTGATTTTTTTTCCTTCCCTGCCATATGCTGTCAAGCTTGTTGACAGTCTCCAGGACGTACTAATGACGGATCATCATATCTTCTTAGATGCAAATTACCAAAACTTTAGGGAGCTTCTAACAAATGATCAATGTATCATCTCTTGAACTCTCTCAAACCTTAAAATATGATTCTGTAGGATTGAGCCCCACATCGGGATCCCTGTTCAGAGGGGAGCCTGCTTCTCCCTCTGCCCCTCACCTCACTCGTGTTCTTACTCTCTCACTCTCTCTCAAATAAATAAAATCTTAAAAAAAAAAAAAAAAAGATCACATCCATAGCATCAGCATTTGTGGAAGGGATGAATGAATCTCCATCCTATACTACATCTTCCCCCACTAAAATGACACGTTCAATTAAACATCTTTGCTGACTTACTCTCATCACCCATTAAGTAGGTCAGTTAGAGAACAGCTTCACTTAACTGTGCTCTTGGGTTAGTTACTGAATATCTCCATATCACTACTACTATTCTTAATTGCTAGGATTTGAGTGATTGCTTTGTGCCTGGTGAGTTATCTCATTTAATCCTCCCAACAGTGATGAAGATACTATTATCACACCCACTTTGCAGATGAGGAAACTGAAGTGCCCTTCCAGACAGTCATACAACCGGTAAGAGAAGACCCTGGGTTCTGTTGGGGAAGTTGTGCTCCCAGCCCCCATGCTTATGGACAACATAACACCTTCTCTCCCCGGGCAAACAAAACACCAGACAGACCAAGAACTATAGTCATACTTACAATAACTATAGAATCACCAAAATAGAATGATCTAATCAAAACACATTCAAAGACTATCTTGTACTATAAAAAAAAAAAAATGGGGACATTATAAATAGCCTTTAGGGTTCCTTTTTAAAGATTTATTTATTTGAGAGAGAGAGATCACACACACAGACACGATATGGGGAGGGGCAGAGTGGGGGGGTGGGGGGGAGGGAGAATCTCAAGCAGACTCCACGCTGAGCACAGAGCCAAACGAGGGGCTTGAGCTGAAACCAAGAGTCTGGTGCTTAACAGATTGAGCCACTCAGGTGCCCCTAGGGTTTCTTTGTTTTCTTTTAATAGCCCTGAGAAGCACAGAAGGGGCACTTTTCTGAAAATATGTTTTCAAATTTTATGGTAAGTAGGCCCACAATATGGTCAATTTCAAGATTAATGTTCCTAACTCTAATTCTACCAAATCCCAAGCTGGGTTTATTTTTTTAATTTTTTTTTCCTTTCTTTTCTTCTTCTTCTTTTTTTTTTTTTTATACCAAAGATTTAGAGGATTTGGCTTGTTGTGACCCAAAAACAAAAGATGTTAAACTTTGGAGCTATTACCACAACTTCAAACTTCAGTAATTTAAGACTTCATAAAATGATGGTTTAGAAAGTCTATATGTGGAATCCAAATGAAAACTTCATGAGCAAAGCTCTCATTTAGACTCTCCCAAACCTGATTCCCTGAAAAAAATGTTCAGCCAGCCCATAATGTGGAAACAATTATGAAAATTAAGACATTTGAAAACCACTCAAGCAGCTTTTATTTCTAGCTACATCTTACAGGACATGGTGCTGCTGGCCTTTTAGCTGGCTTTCAATAACGC